ACTCAAATGCTTTGGCCACCTAATGAGAAGGAAGAAGGACTCCCTGGAGAAGAGCCTCATGCTGGGAAGGATGAAGGGCAAAAGAAGGATGAGACAACAGAAAATGAGATGGCTGGATGGAGTCACTGAAACAGTCGGCGTGAGCTTAAATGAACTCCAGAGGATGGTAGAGGACAGGAAGGCCTGGAGGACCGTTGTCTATGGGGTCATGATGGGTCAGACATAACTTCGCAAATAACAACAACAACAAAATAAAAAAATAAACAGCGCAACAGACTCCATGAGACAAATGAATTACAGGTCTCTTAGGGACCCTCAAGAACCTATGAATCCTTCTGCTGGATTTGGCCATCACATTCTGCATTAGAAGCCTTGGCTAGGAGGAGGTAACCAGGTTGCATCCTGGCCACCAGGATTAAAAAAAAACATGCTGCCTATCATTCTGGAGGTGTGCAAAAGAAGCTGCCTCTTTGCCAACAATGCCCCGGGCAAACAAAAGCACCCAGGGTAATAGGCAACTTGCCTAGACAGATACCACCTTCCACCTTTTGACTTACCCTTCTTGAATTCCTCCAGCATGGCGTCCAGCTTGGTGTCGTGGAAGACAAAATGGACCGGGTGGTTGTAGAACTTGGTGATGGTCTTGAGGGTGGTGCAGTCATCGGGGTCCACAAAAGCCAAGTCCTTGATGTAGAGGATATCCACAATGTTGGACCGTTCCTCTTCGAAGACAGGGATACGGGTGTAGCCGCTTTCCATGATTTCAGACATGGTATTGAAATCCAAGATAGCGTCACTGTCGATCATGAAGCAGTCGTGAATGGGGGTCATGACGCCCTCCACCGTCTTGGTCCGAAGCTCCAGGGCTCCCTGGATCATGTTCAGCTCCTCCTTGACCAGATCGTTGTAAGGCTCTGTGATCTTCAGCATCTCCACCAGCTTCTCCCGGTTGTAGACGGTGCCGATTTCTTGACCCAAGAGAAAGTCAAGGATCTTGCTGACCGGGTAGGAGATGGGGAAGGTCAAGAACATGAAGAACTTGGTGAGAATGATGGTGTTGGCCCCCACGGCCAAACCATGGCGGGAGCAGAGCGCCTGGGGCACGATCTCCCCAAAGACCACGATGCCTGAGGTGGATACAATGACGGCCACCAAGCCCGACCCAATCAAGTCATCCAGGAGGATGGTGAGGGTGGTGTTGACGAAGACGTTGCCCAGCAGGAGGGAACACAGCAGGTAGTTGCCCTTGCGCCTGATGGGCTCGATCTTGCGGGCGTAACGCTTCTCCTTCTCACTGCCGCAGTTCTGCACAATGCGCAGCTCCATGGGGTCCAGTGCCATCAGGCCCAGGTTCAGCCCGCTGAACATGCCAGAGAGCACCAGCAGGGCCAACAGCAGCAGGATCTGCAGCCAGAGAGGGAGCAGGTGCTGCTTCTCCTCCACCACCCGCAGGAAGGCATCCTCACCCTCCAGGCGCAGCCAGGGCTGCGCGGGATCGCTCCGCGTGCACAGCACATAGAGCTTGGAGCGTTCGGCCTTGCGCAGCCGCTGCACTTTCACGCCCACCAGGGCCGAGGTGGAGCGGCTGAGGCCGGCGTGGGCATGCACCACCAGGTCCTGGGTCTTCTCCGGGCAGGTGGCATTGGCACTCCTGGCCCAGGTGGCATTGGTGGTGGTAGCGGTGCCAGGCATGCCCACCTCGGCGAAATAGATCCCCTGGTAGGCGCGGGGGCTCAAGCCCAGACCGTAGAGGCGCAGCACGATGTTGGCGCCTTCTTCCACCTGCAGCACGCCCGCTTCCTCCGCTTCATCCAGCTCGAACAGCGGCCGGTCGGTGCCCTCCAGCCGCATGCCGAACACCACGGGGCCCCGCCGCTCGGGGGAGGCGCCGGCGCCGACTCGGCTGAACAGCAGCAGCAACAGCGGAAGGACCAGCCTGGCCCGCAAGGGGAGACGCTGCCCGGCCTCGTCCCCGGAGCCCTGCAAGGTCCCCGGTCGGCGCAGCGCCATGATCCGCCTGGCTTGGAAGGCAGCGGCGAGCGCGGAGAAGCAAGTTTTGGGCGCCGAGGCGGGAGGGGCTTACTCGTCACGGCTGCTTTGCATACGGCACGGCACGCCCCCTCCCTGCGCTCATCCGCCCCCTCTTCGTCCCCCTCCCGGGGGAGCCCCTTAAGGAGGCGCCGAGAAGAGGGCCTGGGCGGGGCTTTCTTTCTTTTTAAGGAGGCGCCCGGCGTAGAAGCGGTGCGGAGGGAGCCGCTATGGCTAAACTATGCTATAACTATGGCTAAAGGAGTGGGAAAGGAGGAAAGGGAGGGGGTTAAATAAATTATATAAATTCTGTTTCTTTTTATGTACACTTGAGACCATAGGCACCAAAGACAAATTCCTTGTGTGTCCAATCATACTTGGCCAATAAAGAATTCTGTTCTGTTCTATTCATTCCAATATTCTACTCTACCCTATCCTATCCTAATTTTATGCTATTTCTCTTATTCTATTCTCTTATTCTATTTTTTCTATTCTAATTTTATCCTATTTCTCTCTTCTCTTCCCTTCCATTTAAAGAAAAAGGCCAAGAGGTCAATTAAATAGGAGCAAAGCACCAGCAAACTTCAATCCTTCCCCCGTCTCCAAGCTGACCTGTTCAATTTCCACCTACCGACAGCAGCTGTTAAAGTGTTTGTATGTTTGTTTGTGTGTGTGTTTAAAAGCAACGTTGTTGGCAATGCCAGATCTCCGAAACTAAACCGGACCCGCAGCTCTCGACTTAAGCCTCAATTAGCCGGGTTCAACATGTCATGTTAAATTAAAAAGCGGGCAAATCGCATCGCGGTTGATGATCAGGACCGGATTTGCCAAAGCCACGCAACGGGGAAGCGGTGGGAGCGAGGTGGCTTGCTCCTTAGGCGCCAGCAAAGGGGCTTTCCTTGCCCGGAGGAGGGGGTGTATGGGCGTCGGGGAGAGAAGCAAGCGGGGTTTGCTTTGCACAACTTGCAGCCACCTGCCCCCCCTCCTCGACCAGGGAACCAGGATGCGGTGATCCTGGCTTCTCGTTTGGGCCTTTGAGGGGGACTTTTCAACAAGAATAACTAAGGGAAACAAGAAAGATAAGAGAAAATAGGATCCTAAGGCTGGGACTCCCCGAGGGGAGTGAATAGGGAATAGAATAGAATAGAATAGAATAAGGGATAGAAGATAATAGAATAGACTTGAAAAGGAAATATAATAGGAGATAGAATAGGAAATAGAATAGAAGATAATAGAATAGAATAAGGGATAGAATGGAAGATAATAGAATAGAATTGAAAAGGAAATAGAATAGGAGGTAGGATAGGATAGGATAGGAAATAGAAGAGAAGAGAATTGAAATGAATAGAAAACAGAATAGAATAGAATAGAGAATAGAATAGAAAGTAGAATGGAATGGAATAGAATAAGGGATAGAAGAGAAGAGAATTGAAAAGGAAATAGAATAGGAAATAGGATAGGATAGAATAGAAAATAGAAGAGAATTGAAAAGAATAGAGAATAGAATAGAAAGTAGAAGGCAAGACAATAGAGAATAGAAAACAGAATAGAACAATATAGAATAAAGTAGAACTGAATTTAGAATAGATGAATAGAATGAATAGAATAGAAAATAGAATAGATTAGAATAAATAGAATAGAATAGAAATATTAGAATATAGAATAGAATAGAAATCTTTATTGGCCATGTGTAATTGGACACACAAGGAATTTGGTGCATATGCTCTCAGTTTACATAAAAAGACAAGATATGTTCTATAGAATAGAATAGAATGAATAGAATTCTTTATTGGCCAAGTGTGATTGGACACACAAGGAATTGGTCTTTGGTGCCTATGCTCTCAAGTGTACATAAAGAATAGTAGTAATACAGTCTTAGTAGGTAATTTGACAGTGTTGTGGGAATTAGTTGTTTAGCAGAGTAAGGGCATTTGGGGGAAAACTGTCCTTGTGTCTAGTTGTTCTGGTGTGCAGTGCTATATAGCGTCGTTTTGAGGGTAGAAGTCAAAACAATTTATGTCCAGGATGTGAGTAGATGTTTTCACAGCCCTCTTTTTGACTCGTGCAGTGTTACAAGTCCTCATTGGAAGGCAGGTTGGTAGCCATTGTTTTTTCTGCAGTTGTGATTATCCTCCGAAGTCCGTGTCTGTCTTGTTGGGTTGCAGAACCAAACCAGACAGTTATAGAGGTGCAGCTGACAGAATCAATAATTCCTCTGTAGAAAGAAATTATTATAAAATAATTATAAAAATAATTATTAACTATTTCAATCACTTTATTTTAGTGAAGGTATTTTGATTTGCTCTGCATGACTCTTGTTTTGAAAAGGTTTGTTGTGCAATGTGTCCGCAAGATGTTTAAGTAACGCCATCGATGATCCACCATCTGTATCCTTATTCAATCCCAGCTATCCAAACCCAGCAAGGGTTACCCAAACACAGGTAAAATTCCCCAGGAAAACAAATATAAAAATCAATTGTCTCTCTTGGCTTGAACAGGATTAGGCTTAGTTTAAGGTTCTGCAAAGAGAACCCCTTGGGAATGACCAAATCCTTCCCTCTTTGGCCTTTATTCTGCTTGTTGTTGTTAGTCTATCTATCTATCTATCTATCTATCTATCTATCTATCTATCTATCTATCTATCTATCTATCTATCTATC